CGGGGATCGAACTCATGACTGCCTGCTTGCAGGGCAGGCGCTTATGCCACTGAGCTAAATCCCCAGCCCTAGATAAAAATTTTAAATTATTCATTTAATTAGTAGAATCCCAAAAGATCCCAAATTGTGCTTTATTAGATAAAAATTTTTAAGTTATTCATTTACTTAGAGAAAATTAGCATATTAATATGTAAGTGTGGCAAATGTTACTCCAATGTTAGCTTATAAAAATACTGTTATAAATTTAAGCTTTAGATACCACATGTATTTATTTAGGTGACTGTTTAAACTTCACCAGTTTTAAGACCCTTTAGAGTACTGGAATAATCTGGAAACATTAGTTCACTTGCAATTCAATCAGTTAAAATTTCCCACACAGTACATTCTGCTTAGTCTTGTGTGCTTCATGCTAAAATACACAAAATAATCAAACTGGTAAAATTTTGAGCCTCGCTCTTTGTACAGGCAAGAAGTTTGTTTTGTGGAATATAATACTTATTACTTATTAAATTAGATACCTGAATATTGTACAAAGTTCATTTTTGCTTTCTTCACTATATTAGAAATAATTGAAACATTTCTCAATAGTTCATTGAGAAATTTCTCATTAAACAGAAGTGCCTTATAAATCTAGCATGCCTCTGGTGAATGTCTGTCCTTAAACTCCAAGTAGGAATGAAAAGATTGGGAGGGGATGCACCATAGCTTTTGTTCTTAGCAACTTCTGGATAAAATCATCACCACTCTCAGTTTGATTTGTTTCATTTACTTCTTGTCTCATATATTTTTTAGTTTTTTTTCTGATTTATCTTGAAATAACCAGGTTGGGGTTTCTGTTCATTTAGATTATTTAAGCTTTCTGATCTGTGGTCAGTCCTGAACTGTTTATTGGACTCATACCATTCAGTAACTAAAGCATATAAAATTTACTACATTTTGTATTGATTTAATATTAATGTTAATCTAAAATCTTTGGGTGCAGTGTGTCACATCTGTTTTGTATTCCTCTGTTTAAAAGAAGTGGCAGTATGGTATTTAGAAGAATATTTATTGTCTGAGTGTTTTTCTTTGCAGCAGTTCCCCTCACTCTATTGAGAATTATAACTTTTCAGAGACAGTGAATCACCCAGCAAATTCTCAGGTACCCAACTGCTCACAGCCACAGATAATTTGAATTTTAATTTACCATTCAGTTCCTTTTGCTAAAGTAGTTATAACTTTGGAAGTTTCTGGAAATGGTAGAAAATTAATTTGTAGTGAGATGTTTTAAAATATCCTTTTTTTCCTAGTAATAGGTCCAGCCTGTACCTCGTAGACATGCTAGTCTTTTAGAACACGCTTCATTGCATTGAGTGCTGCTTTGTGTTTCAAAAGGAGTTTTCCATAGCTCTGACTGAATATTCTTATCCTGTGATCATGTTTCTTAACCTCTTTGGGAACATGGATTTCTTTAAATAATCAGTAGTGAGAGCTATAACCCCTTTTCCTAGAGGGGAAAATGCATCAAAACAAACATTTTTTTGTAAAGTTTTTATTAGTCCTGTTTTTTTCTGCCCAATATCTAGCAGCCCCAGGTTAGGAAGCACTGCTGTCCTAGAACTGTTAAATCACCTCTAGAATATTAGTTTTAGCACCACATTACCATGCTACACTAATATTGTTTTTCACATTAAGCTTTATTTAATCCATTATTTTCTTCTTGATCATTATATAGAAGATAAGATTAATCAAAGTCTTATTTTGGAGGAAAAACAATTCCCTGTCTTTTTCCCCCCCAGTGAAGACTGAATCCTGCAGCCTTTATGCTGAGCTGTATCCGCAGCTTTTTAAAATTTCGAGACAGGATCTCATTAAATTGTCTGTGTTAGACTCAATCTTTTTAATCCTCCTGCCCCAGCCTCCCAGAGTGCTAGCAGTATAGGTGTGTGCTGCCATGCTCAGCTCACCCTAGTTCTTTTAAAGGTTGTTTTGTTTTATTTGTATGTATGTGTGTATGTATGTATTTTTAATTTTGAGATAGTCTGCTAAGTTGTCTAGGCTAACCTTGAACTTGTGAACTAACACCTGCAGCTTTCGGAGCAGTTGGAATTATGGACATATTCTACCACATCTATCTGTACATAGTTTCTCTTTGTTGTTTTTGTTTTTTGGTACCTGGTGTCGAACTCACAACTGTGCTTGCCAGGCAGGCATTGTGCTACTGAGCTATATCCCTGGCACAATTCTTTTCATTTTAAAGTTGATCCCTGAAATTTTAAAAGAAATTTGGTTTCCTATATGGTTTAGGTTTTATCATAGGCACATAAGAAACCAAAACTCAGTTTATCCTGAGTTAAAAATGAAGACAATGAAAGATAAAGATGAGTTCTTCTAGATAGATCTGTTGTTGAAGTAGTTTAGGAAAGATTTGTTTGCCATCAAAAAATGAGTTCTCATTTTAATGAAAGATTTTTGAAACTTTTTAGGAGGTGTTGGGTTATTTGGGTTAGGAGCTCAGATTTACACCAGGCATGGTGGCACATACCCATAATTCCAGCACTCTGAGAGGCTTGCAAGTTCAAATCCAGCCCAGTAACTTGGTGACTTAGTGAGACTCTGTCTCCAAAAAAAAAAAGTCTGTGCAAAGGTTCTGATTGAATCCATAGCTCTGGGAGGGGGAAAAATACTCAGATCAAGCAGGTTAGGATCCAGATCCTGTTCAGCTGACCTTGGGCGCTGGGCAGTTTGCTTCCCTATAAAATAAGACCAATCTATTAAACAAGATAATTTCTTTTCTGTTCTTTTTTTGTTTTGTTTTGAGGCAAGGTCTTGTTATATAGTTCAGGCTGCCATGAATTCACTATTTAGCTAGCCTTGAACTGGGAGGATCCTCCTGCCTCTATCTCCTGAGTGCTGGGATTATAGGTGTGTGCCACCACACCCAATTTTGATAGTTTCTATAAAGTACTAGTTTTATGGTTGGTACAAAATACACATTTTAATCTCTTACTGTATCATGGTGTTGTTAATGACAAGTTGAACCGCTATGCTTTTCATTTGCTGTGTCCATTTTTCCTATCACAAATTTAGAATACTGTAGTAGATCTTGGTTATAAACATATAAATCTTTTTAAGACTTTGTGCTTATCAGGCGGGTGCTGTGCTGCTAAGCTATACCCCAGCCAAAAATATAAGTCTTGAGTTCTCTAGAACAATTTTCTCAAGTATTGGTGGCTTCCTCAAGTTATTGTATATGTCTGTATGCAATTCAGTGAAAAAAAGGACTGGGAATGTAGCTCAGTGTGAAGGTCCTGGATTCAATCCCCAGTACCACTCATAAAAAATAGCAATAAACTATTGGTCAGGGCATGGTGGTATTTGTCTATAATCCCAGCTCTCTAGAGGCAGAGACAGGAGGATCAAAAGGATGGCCAGGAATTCAAGAACAGTCCCGGCTACACAGTGAGTTCCAGGTTCATTTGAACTACATTGTAAGATCCTTTCTTTATTCCTGCCCAAGATAAGTAAATAATTCAGTTGAGTTCTCCAGAGACAAGGAGTAGCAAACCAACTTTTACACACTATATTTTCAGTATTTAGTTATTACAGTAGGGCAGTGTGTTAAAAAGCTCTTTGTGAAACTGGTCTAATAATTGAACAAGGAGGAGCAGAGGAAGGGAATGGTCACTATGTGTGGCTTAAAAATGAAGCACTAACGTGTTTCTGCTTTTGAATCCTGACACCCAGGTGATCATGTGCTATAGAGCTGCTGTAACCCACACAGCCAGCAGGGCCCTGAAGGGGTGATGAGAGATGTGAAAAAAAAAAAAAAAAAAAAAAAAAAAAAAAAAAAGAAAAGAAAGAAAACCTGGCACATAATAAAAGGAAAGCTGGGCCTGGGCGGGACCTGACCTCTCAGCTGGAGAGGCAGTGACAGTCCAGCACGGTCTGTGTCTTTATGCCTACACAATAAAAAGGGGGAAGTGCATGATGGGCTGAAAAGTGTGACGTCTCAGTGTTTTGCTGAGAACACTGAAAGCGAAGCATTCTCAGAGCTCTGTGCTGCAGGTAACGGGGAAGAAAGCCAAGCCACACACCTGCTGGACTGGCCTAGCACTAATCCCAATGACTCGTTCACATGGCTCACCTCTGGAGCTCCATGTACTCAGGTTGGTCTTGCTTTAGCCTCAGTGTGTGGTCCATCTCCAGCTCAGCTCCCCATATAGAACCATAGGTATTGTGTTTACTTAGGGTAGATGACGTTCCTTTCATGTGATGTCATAAAGGAGAACTCTAATTTTAAGATGTTTGATGAATAGACATTTGTATAAATGTAACCACCATTCATATTCAGCTCTGAGAGAGTGTTCCCATTGTGGTTTGTAGAGTATTTGGAACTGTTGAAGAAAGGAAGAGGATGATGTGTATGATGCTGTAATTATAGAAGTGATAAAAGGAAATGGTTTAATACTAGCCTGCAGTGAAAGGCTTCAGAGTCACTAAAAAATGATTTTAAACCCTCCTGAAAAGAAGTAAAGTGACATCCTATTTGGTCTCTTTCTTTTTTACATAGTGGTTATTGATACAAACAGGTAATAACAATATCAGTGTTTATGGCAGTGTTTTATTTCTATGTTTATGTGTGCACAAATCTACGTGTATGAGTATGTGCTTTCCAAGGAGGCTTAGAATAATTCAGATGGAAATCATACATGTCAGTTAAGAGGAGTTTCTAAACACAGGAGAAGCTAAGGATTCAGTTTGTTCATCAGTAAATTATCTCTTTATCGGTGACAGAGAAAACAACAAACAGATTCATCCTAGATTAGGCCTGTGCATTTGCTATGCGGGAGAGACAAACATTGCTCAATCACCTTACACTGATGAAATAGTAGGTGCTGTAGGTGTCACTGAGATGTAAGGAGATTACTTTTGTCTTATAATTTTTTAGCTTGTTCCTTTTTATTTTCTTTAATCAGCTAGAAAACTTGGTAAGTAACATTCCTCCTTTTCTTTCTTAGTATCGTCAGTGAAGCAGGAACATCCATCTATAGTGTGAGCCCTGAAGCCAACAAAGAGATGCCAGGGCTGGATCCTAATGTGAGAAGTGCAGGTAAGAAGCTATCACAAAAGCATGTGATTATAAACTTGCGTATGTAGCAAGCTAAATATTTTACCTATCCAAAAAATTTAAATGATATACTGTATTCATAAGAATTGATGTATTAGAAAGAAAGTGTTTGGTTGAAATAATAGTTGGAATTATGAAAAAGAAGACTACAGTCTTATTTTTATAGAGTACTACATAATACTCTAGAGAACCATGAAAAATTAACATGAAATCACTTTAGGAAAATTAAATGCCAGCATTCAAAAATAAGGAATAATAAAACACTCTTAAGATCTTTATTATTATTATTATTATTATTATTATTACAAAATATTAGTTATTAGAACTATTTCTTGGCAATAAGTAATACGTTAACATAATAATATTCATAGTGTAAATATCCTAAATGAATTTTCACAAGCTTTCATTGTATTGCTAAGTATTTGTCAAATGAGTAGTCTCCTTTGGCCTTCTAATAGAACTTGCCATTTGCTAGTGTGTTGCTTTTAAAATGCTTTCTTTTATTTTAGTTGTACTTAATTGCTTGATGTCTGTGATGTGGAATAGTTAAAATGCATTTAAATAAATACTTTGATACATCTAGAGGCAGCAGTTGATATCACTGGAAAAATATTAGATCTGGTCAAAAACATTTTTCTGGGCAATAGAGGAGTTATGTAGATCAATTTGGTAACATTAGACTTTTTATTTCTTTAAATATTCATATGAGATTTCTTTGGATGTCTTTGAATGAAACCTGTACCTGGAAGTATAATTTTTATTAATCAAAACCTAAAAACTGTTTTTTTTTTAACATCTGAAAATCCTTGTAGTTTCTCTTCTGTTGCTTGTTTGTCCATGTCGCTATCTCCTATCTAAAATGATCTTTCTTTCAAATTCAAATCTCAACATACAGTCTTGCTTGTTCTATGAAAATCTTCCCTGTCCCATCAGCTCAGCCTGATTGCAGCTTGCTTACCTGGTATTCCTTGGTGCTTGCCTTATAATAACAGTAGTATATAATAATAATGGTAGGAGTGGAAATAGTATTCATGGCAGAAACTGCTAATTTGAATCTTTCTTAAGCACTTGATATACATGGAACATTGTAGGAAATGTATTACCAGGATTATTTTATTTTATTCTCACAATTGCCCTGTGAGACTATTCTTTCACTTTACAGATGAGGAAACTGCAGCTTAGCAGTCAGTAAGTGTGTGTGTGATATTTGTGTGTCTAATATCTATAATAAAATGATAATTTTCTTTATAAAAAATAAAACCTAGAACGTCTCAAGTTGGCATTGAAAGGGTACTTTTTTAACATGGTGTTGTGAAAAATACTTGGGACTTTTTTTCTGGGACAGTGCTCCCCAGGTATTCTACTGCTAAAGTAGTTGCTATTTCTTCTTAACTATCAGACCATGTGGGCACCTAACTGTCACAGAATCATGAGTGAGACTAGATAATAGCATTCTAACAAGACTGTGACAATACAAGACCATGAAGGGAATCACTCACTGTAAGACTGTGACTGCTCAGATTTCCAAGTCTCACTAGCTGTGTCTTGGTTTGTGATTCACTGCAGGTATGCTTGCCCTCTGTGTCTCAGCTTGCTTCTGTGTGCTAGTGATGATGTTTAATCCATGTCAATCCAGACATCTGCCTAGACACTTGGGGTTTTGAAAGTAGTCCTGAAGGCAGATATTCAAAGAAGCTTGGAGTCTCCACTCTTGCTTTCTTAGGCCCTACTCCTTTTTTAAGTCTTACTTATTGGGGCATTCCTGTTTCCTAGTGATTAATGCATGAGAGGCTTTAGTTAAGACTTGAGCTACCTATAGGTCTGCATTTTGCCTTTAAACCCATCTGTAGTTTGGGCAAGGTTTGTCCTCCAAAGATTCAAGTGCTGAGAGCTTAGTGTCACTACTGTTGCAGTATTTACAGGTGGTGGACTCTTGAAGAGATAAAGACCTAGTGCAAGATAATTAGGTTATGAGGGCATTGGTCTTGGAAAATATTCATTGTGGTCTTGTGGAATAAGTTAGTTCTCAAGAGAGGCCACCTCCTTGTGCTTTATCCCTTCTGTACCTGTTTAGTTCCCATTCAGTCATAAAACCAACATTCCTCTTTTCATTGTTCTACCTAATGTGGTGAACCTTTTAGAACTTTCAGTAATACAAACATCCTGCTGTGGCTTGCGTTCACCTCCACTAGCGTATCTAGTGTGTTGTAGTATGAGACTCAATTTCTATGGCACTTGCTTTAAGCAATTTGTGTGTGTGGGTGTGCGCACGCACACACTTGTGTTTGTGTTTGAGTGGGTTTTACTGTGCTGTTCACGCTGACCTTGAATTTACTTTGTAGCCCAGGCTGGCCCCGAACTCAGAGCAGTTCTCTTGCCTCAGCCTCCTGAGGGCTGGGATTATAGGAATCTGCCACCATGCAGGGTTAAGCATCTTTTTAATTAAACTCATGTATTTTTTTTCCAAGTTTAGACTCACTTATAAATACTTTTAAAACTCTGTATAATTTGGAGTTAAATTCTGTTAAATCTGTACTTTTGTCTTAATTCTGTATGTTTTATTTTTATTGCTCATGGTTTTATGGGTAAAATTATGTATCAGTGTTTGCAGGCAAAACAGATTTAATGCAAGATATACAAAAATATAAGAATTTACAAGATTGGCTTACAATGGCCTCCTACAGAGTCAAATGTGGAAGAGTGCAAAAGGTCTATGTGTGCACTGGAGATCTGGAAGGACCCAGGTGAAGGACTGGAGTTCACTGTGATACCGCACGTGAATCCATATCAGGAGACTGAAGGGTTTTCATGGAAGGCTGAAAGGTCCACACTGGAAGGCTGAAAGATTGAAGTATGCAGTGGAAATCAGAGCTGATGTCCAAGGCAGAGGTGAAGCCTGGAGGTCCTCTGAGAAGCAAAAGCAAGGCTTCCTTCTTTTTATACCACTCTGATCGCAATGCTCCCTAGGGTTAGTCTTCCACAACCAAACCATGCTGAGCCAGTTTAACTGGACATTTCTTACTCAAGTTGACCCAGTTAACTGTCACAAAGTATATAATAGATAGTTTATGTGCATATGATTAGCAGGTTCTTCTTCATGATACTTTCAAAAATATGTTTAAATTTTAACTTATTCCTCTTGTAATTACAGTTACTCCTGGACCAACATCTCTTTATTTCTTTCACTCTCCATTTCATCTCACTGATTATTGATTGCATGTGAACCTGGCTTTTGTCTGTATGTCTTGAAATTCAGCCACCTGATTGAAATCTGATTAATCCTGGCAGTTTTTCAGTTGACTTGCTGTTTGAGTAGTTTAGGAAGCAAATCATTATCTGCAGATAACAATAATAATTGAGAATTTATCATTTCAATATATGTATCTCCCTTTTTTGTCAAAGTGCATTGACTAGAATTTTTCAAATAGTGGTAAATAATAATAGTAATACAGAAAAATATTGATGCCATAGGTGAGTAAAATAGTATTTGACATACATTTGAATATACTGAATTTTAAAAAATAAAATAGCTTCATTGACATATAATATACATAACAAAATTTATCCTTTTAAAGTGTACAATTCAATGTTTCTATATAGTCAGCCTTGTATAGTTATCACAGTCCAGTTTTTGGACATCTTCATTACCCCCAAAAGAAACTTATACCTACTAGCAGTCACTTCTGTTCTTCCCCTGTCTACCACCCCAACAACCCCTGATGCTCTTTTGTAACTATATGGATTCACCTGCTCTGGACGTTTCATATAGATGTAACCTTATAGTATGTGGTCTTTTCTGGCTAACTTCTTTCACTTAGCATGATGTTCTTGGTTCATCTAATGTAGTAGCAGGTTCCACTGCTTCATTCCTTATTAGCAAATAATACTCTATTGTATGGGTATACCACAGTTTTTTCATTCGTCAGCTGATGGATATTTATTTTTACATTTTTGGCTATTAGGAATAGTGCTGCTGTGTATATTCATGTGTCAGCTCTTAACAAAAACTTACATTTCTATTTCTTTTCAGTATATACCTGGAATAAATTCTAGGGACCCATAGTAACTCTGTGGTTAACATTTTCCAGGTGTCTTTGACTTCTATACTATGGCCTCATTCCTTGACTGTTTCACCGCTCCTTCCTTTTCTTCTCTGTCTCAAATGGTAGCTGTCCCTCAAATTTGGGACCATAACTTTCTTATCTTATAATCCTTTGGATCAGTTATTTAATAAACTCTTCCTGAGCCTCCTCTCAGTCAGTAACCTGTTGTCAGCATGACCATTCTCAACCTGAACTCTGAATTAGTCTGTGTGCTGAATAACTCTTTCTTAGTTATCCTCCCAGCGGGAAATTGGCATCATGTTTTCTCTGAAGCTTGGATACAATGCTGTTGAGCTCTGTTTGAATGTTCATTCTCTCCCTGCTTCCTTTCTGTCCTATGCTTGGGTTTTTATACTGCATAATGTGTACAGCATCTGAGAGGGAAATATCAGTTCTGGAAGCCCTGAGATATCTTTCAAAGCTGTCTATTGTGGATGCTGTAACTTCAGAGAATCTTTGGACTTACTGTAGAATTAGTATGTCACCTGGAAGCCATAATTTTCATTACATTGTTCTGCTACATTTAATCATAATTAAATAGAAAAGGAGTCATAGAGATCAGAAGAGAACCAGATAGAAAAGTTAAAAAAGAAAAAAGAACCTTTTTGTATAGCTTAGAGATTTTTAAATATGAAAATCTGCCTGTACTTAGCAAGTTATACAACTGTTCTAACCAGTTTCTGTGTTTAGATTTTCATAATATGGGTATCCCAATAAGCATAGATTTGCAAGATTTAACCACCATTGATGTCCTTTTGTTAGATTTTTGCCATTACTTTCCTATATATTAAATGTATAGGCAAATATGATGCCTATATTTTTGGCTTACTGTTGTGGTTTTTTTAATTTTTAAAAATATTTTTGCAATGTATACATGTGTATGTATGAAAATCATTCTTACTGTGGCATAGATTTAAAAGATGGGATATCTAAATATTTGCCTTAGGAAATTCAAGCATATCTCTAGTAGCACTGTATTTTCAACCTGTAATTATAAGTGTGGTTATTAAAGAATTCCTACTGTAGACTGTAGTACTTGCATTATAATTTTTGATAGGAAGATAGATGTGGACATCTTGGAATTCCTAGCTATTTTATGGAGAAAGAGGCAGATTGTATGACACTAGCTCATTGTTGTTTTAGGATTTTTCAAGTTGCCACGTTACTATAGGTTAGTGATATTAAAACAAGGGCTATTAAAAAATTTTGAGTAATCATGCAGTGAACTGTTCACAGTAGATCTTATCTTTGAGATCAAAGAGAGCCCGAGAGAGAAAGAAAGAGAGAGAGAGAGAGAGAGAGAGAAGGAGACCACAAATCAGCAACTGGAGAATTGGATAGTTGCTAGTAGAGAGGTGACTTTTGCTGCCAGACCTTAAACGGTTTAATATGAAAACAAATTTGAGATATCTTTTGATGGTCTTAATGTTGCCACATTAATTTACAGTCCATCCATGTTATATGAGTAGGTGACATTGATTAGCTTTCATACATTTAGGAAGTAGAAGTTATTTATGTGTTAGGACTCATGGTAATTATGCCACATTGGACTGGATAGAGTAAGCTTTAGGAGTTATCTGTAAGATTCATAATCAGTAACTATTCACTAGCTAAATTACTTTATAAACTAAATTAGGTATGAGGTTCTATTAATATTTGCTAAAATAAATTGATGATAGTAAACGATAATCAAGTGCAAATCATGATGCAGATAAAGTTATGTTTGGAGTTGATTTTCAAGTATTTTGAGCATGCATTGTAATGGTCAAAACAGGGATAAAATTAGACCTGTGTGTGAGAGAGACAGGTAATTGGGACTCATAAAGCACTTCCCAGTGTACGCTTGCAGTCATGTTCCAAGCCATACAAGCATATTTACTAGCCAATAGACTCAGTCTCTGTTTGCATGAAGATATGATTCAGTTCGATGTGGTGGCCCAGGCCTATAATCCCAGAACTCTGGGAGGCTATGGCAGGAGGATTCCAAGTTCAAGTTTAAGTTCAACTGGTACAACTTAATGTCTTAGCAAGAGCCAGTGTCAAACATAAAAAAGGGCTAGGGATGTACTCAGTACAGAAGCCCTGAGTTCAGTCTCCAGTGCCACCCCTAAGAAAAATCCAATATGATTCTGTCACTTACTCAATGTAATAAGGATCTTTTGGTAATCAGTGTATTTTGATATATAAGTCATTTATAATAGTACAGAGTTCTTAAAAAGTAAAAATATAAAAAGCAAAAACCTACTTTCTCTATAAACATAAGATATATTGTGTTTTAAAGAGTGAATTGATAATTGTATAACTATGGAAACTAAGTGTTTTATTGGTTTTTCCAAATCTATAATCCTTTCAATCTGCTTGCTCAAAACTGTCCTAGGAGTTCTTTTTGGCATATAATTAGTCCTGAAATTTTGCTTCTATTTTTGACTGAAAAAGGAGAACTTTGAGTCTTACATTGTTGGTCTTTGGAGGGGGAGAGAAGGGACAGGATTAAGTACTTACATTATGAATAATGAACATAAGTAATTATCTGAGTGCTGCTTTTCACATTAAGTCATACTTGTTGTCTGATTCTGTTTTTTCAGTTTCCATAGCAAGGCGTGTACAAGATCCATTAGCTGAGCTAGTGAAAATTGAGCCGAAACACATTGGAGTTGGAATGTATCAGGTAAAGCAATGTGAATCATTTAATTTATGAACTCCATCAATACTAAGAGCAGTATTGAAACCTGGCATAATAATTATTAGTGGGAGTATACTTCCATTTTCAAAGATTGTACAGTTTGTGGCAAGGTAAGTGAGAATTTTGGCAGGCAAAGAGAATACCCCCCCCCCCTTTTCTGTGTTAATGATTTTGCTCGAGTCTTAGAATTCAGTAGTCAAATTTCAAGACCATTAAAACATTAGATCAAACTAGGAACTCAGTTTGGAGAGCCTGTTTTTTTAACAGTGTTATAAAAATGGAGAGAATATGAAAAGGAACCTTGTTGACTTTTTATGTAAATGAGCATGAACTGTTGTTCATTATTGGTCATTGAAGAAGCAGTCTTTGATGCCTGCTGTGCCTTAATTTCCCCCATTTTCCATTTGTTTGATTATGGTAATTAGTTTTTGTTATTATTCAGTCTAAAACTTTCCAGTTGTTGTTACTGTGTAATAATACTTGTTTTTGTTTTTACTTTGCTTGTAATTTTTTAAAACTTTTATGTGTTCTTTGAGTAATTAAGGACAGCAGTTAATGTAGGCGAACTGGATCCATGGTGATAGCAGGATGTTATTTGGTGCTTCAGTTGTCTCCAGAAAACTTAGTCATTGTCATGAGGGAGAATGATAATTATATTAGTTTAATATGGGGTTATAGAACATTTTAGCAAGATAGTAGAATAATGAAAGACATTAAATTTATAGAACCTAGATAGGCTATTAAGCCATTTCCATTAAGGAGATCTCTAAGTATATAACAACAACCTAATTTCCAGGTACAGATTCAGAGATAATGTTTAATATAAATCTTTAGAATTTTTTTTTTTTTTTTTTTTTTTTTTTTGGTGCCAGGGATTGAATTCATGACTTTGTGCTTGCAAAGCAGGTGCTTATGCCGCTGAGCTAAATCCCCAGCAAACCTTTGGAATTTATTCCAACAAGCAAGGAGAAATCATAGAAAGTTTTAAAGCAGGGTAGTCACATGATCTGACTTCCTTTTTTTTTTTTTTTTTTTTTTTTTGTAATCGGTACCAGGGATCGAACTCACGACTGCCTGCTTGCAAGGCAGGCGCTTATGCCGCTGAGCTATTTCCATTTTTAAACTTTGACTGTAGTCACTCTAAGGAGAATGAATTCGAGGGGAGGAGGAGAACCATCAGGGCAAGTTAGGCTTTTACACTAGCTCAGGGAAGAAATGATATTTGAACAAAGTTAATGCCAGTAAAGATGGGAAGAAGTTTGTTTTGTAGAGACTACTTGGTGAGGAAAAAGAAATTGTCAACAATTTGACTCACAGTTCCTGATACATGTTTGAAGCCTCAGTGGCACCAGTTTTGAAGGTAATAGTAGTCAGTTTTGAACATGCTGGCTTGAGATCTCTGTTAGAAGTGCAAGAAAAGATGTCAAATAGGAGTTGGATTTCCAAGTCTGGGATTAAGAGAGACAGCAGTATTAAATAGCAGCACGTACTATGTGCAAATAATAAAACTGAGGAAGTGATCAAGATGGTAGTTTGAATCATGATATTCTTAAATTGTACAGCCATTGGAGTGTATTCACAACTCTAAATTCCATGAGATATCAGAAAAAGTATGCATGTGTACCCATGTAAATGAATTTTTATAGCAATAAATTAATCAAGTTGGGACAAGAAAAAGTTCCATCAGCGAGTGGAAATCACAAGAATTCCTGAAAGATAATAGAACAGGGAGAATCACACACACACAAAAACCTTAGGAGGGTATAGCTTAAAACATACAGATCATTGGCTAATGCATAAAGCCTTATGATTAATTTGGGAAATTATTGTCACAGTTTTATTTTTATATTGTGATAACTATATTTTACTGTTAAGACTTTTTTCTTATTGAATCATGCACATATAAAGTGTTGTCTTTACCAAAGGAACCCAGATTTATTAAGATGATATTATTTTGACCTAACTGTTGGGCAAACTTTTAATAAACGATAAAAATTTCTGCATTGAAAAAAATATTCCTATGAAGATGGTAGTACAAATTGGTATTTCTAGCATACTTGTAAAGGTATAATTTTTAAAAATATATCCCTTTTATCTGGAAATTCTTCCTTTAGTGAGTTCCAAGGCAATGATAAGAATAATCGGGGTGCTAGGGATTTAGCTCAGTGGCACAGTGCCTGCCTCGGCAAGCATGAGGTTGTGAATTTGATTCCTGGTACCAAAAAAAAAATGACTGGTATTACAGTATTTTTCATTTTTATTGGTACCAGGGATCAAACTCACGACTGCCTGCTTGCAAGGTAAACCCCCCGCCCTGGTATTACAGTATTATACAAATAGCAAAATTTTGGATGCAGTTCTGATAGGATAGTAGTTAAAAGAATTATGGGATGTCTACCTGTTGAAATATACAGCCATTTGAAATCTTGAATTTTTGATGGTTGTATATTTAATAACATGAGAAATTGCTCTTGACATTATGTAAGTTTTAACAAGCTTTTCATAAAATAAAGCTAATATATTTTTTAAGAATATAGATTGCATTTACATTGAAAAAATAAACACCCAGGCAACAGATCATTTAATCTGAACCTAGATATAGTGGGTTTCCAATAGAATCACAGTGGGGCTGGCTTTTTTTAGTTGGAACTTCTCTGTACTTTCAGTGTAAATTTAATAGTTATATTCTTTCTGATTTGAGTAATGGATGAACATTGTTAATTTAAATGATGAAAACTATTCAGAAAAAGAATGTTAATAGATGAAATAATAGAAAATATAATATTTCACTAGAAACTGAAATTCCTTTGGCTTAATAATAGCTAAAATGTGAAAGGCAGCACATTAGCCCTTTCTCAGAAAATCAGGAGAGCTGATTTTTAAAACATATGCCCGTCATTATTTCTGGAGAGTGAGGCAGCTAGTGTGGTTGAATGACAATATATCCCTAGCTGACCCCAAAGACGTTGCTGGAAAGTGGCTTGGTGTTCCTCCCAAGAAAACAGTCTCGGGTGAGAGCAGGATGATGCAGGGCTGGCTGTGCTGAGTTCTGTGGGACATGGGGACTGGTAATTTAGCTTGGTCGTGTCATACCCTGAAAGCACAACTTAAATCAGTTGGATTTACTTGCTATTTATTTCGCCCTTGGACTGTGTTCTAGATACTTTCACATTCATTAACACCTCCAGTTGGTAATGAGCGTGTGCAGGCAAGTAGGAAAGGTTCAGAAGAGTCCTTTTCCTCCTTTGGTGCCTGTCTGTTAGATCATTTGATGATGTTAAAAAATGACATAGTTTTCCAAAATAAGTCTTTGGCACTCTTAGTGATTTCTGTATCCAGGCCATCTTTATTCTTCATTGTGGATAATGAAGAGACACTGTAAAAGGAAAATCATCTTGCCAGCTGAAATTTTTCATAGGAGCCACAAAGGGAGGAATTTGCTCTTTCATTTCACTGTCCCCTCTGTGGGATCATCTGGTCAAAGACAAACCAAAACAAATAACACTTCGTGACAATATTACTTTGTTTAAAACTTTTTTTTTTGTACCAGGAATCTAACTTGGGACTTTATGCTTAAAGGCAGGCATTTATGCCACTGAGCTATATCCCCAGCCCCTGTTAAAATCTTTTATGGTTAACATGTAAGGATTACTAAATGTAATTTAGGATAGGTCTTTAAAAGGTGAATTTTCTTATCTGTTTTGTATTGTTTGATCAAAACTTTTAAAATATTTAAATCCCCAAATTACTTGTTATAATAAAGTAGAATGTAGAAAAGTCCATTGCATAGACAATCATTTAGGTGACTTTTGTTTAGATTTTTGTCCCTTAGATAGAATTAGTATTTTGCAATAGAAAAAATACAAAGGTGAAACCAAGAAAAGTATTCTAGAACTGAATCATTATTCACATAGGTGAATTCCCTGCAGTCTTGACCCCAAGACTCAAGATATGGATTATCATGTAACATTAAAAATATGACCATAAAGGAAAATTTTTTTTTTTATTGGTACCAGGGATTGAACTCATGGCCAAGCGCGGGCGCTTGCAAGGCAAGCACTTATGCCGCTGAGCTAAATCCCCAGCCCCTATAAAGGAAAATATTAATGAATTCTGATGTATTAAAATCATAAAGTGTCTCTGAATAAGCAAAGAATATAAAGACAATGCGCAACAGAGAGAATGTATTTGCAACATACCATCTATAAATATCCAGCATATGTAAAGATCTGCTGTAACTTGAGAAAGAAAAGAACATTGAACAGAAAGATTGAGGTAGTTTGTAGAAAGGAAATATGAAAGGCCAGTAAAGATATAAAAAGCATTGTCACTCTTACTAATAGTAGAGAAAATGCAAACTAAACCTACAAAGAGAAAACTCTTCAGATTGTCAGAAGCGCCTAGCACTTCAAACGTTAGCAAACAAGGCAAACATTGTGCATTATTTTTTAGAAGTATAAATTGGTGTAACCACTTTAGAGAAAGCTAGAAATTAGCAATTAGTGGGAGATGGAAATGCTTTTCAACTCAGCAGTTCTGTTTCTATATAAGTAACCTAGAAAATTATCTCACATGAGACATGTATGAGAGTTCATTAGGGCATAATTTATAGTAGTGAACATTTGGAAACATAGGCTTATTATCTAGAAAGTGGAAAAATAATTTGGTATACTCATACAATGTAATATTGATTCCAGTGAAAATGATCCAATTAGAGCTACATATATTGACATAGGATATAATATTAAGTGAGCAAGCAAAATTATGCAATTGATATATAATTTTAAAATGTAAAAAATGATTGATGAGAACTGTATCAGTGATGAATACATGTATTCTAAGAATATAAAAATAAAAACAGGATTTAAGAAAGTGACTACTTTGGATAATGCATAGAATGAAAATATAATGGGATCTGGAAGATATTCAAGAAATTTCAGTTATTGTATAATCATTTATTAAGCAGGATGATAGGTACCTTATAT